CTTCTAGGCCCTTTCAGCAGGAAGAGCTAGGAGATATATAATATTTTTATACATTTATAAAAACTACATTCAGCTAAAGAAAAACAATATATTTTCCACTATAGCATTTAGACAACATATACTCAAAAGAAACATCCACATACAAAAAACTATATAGTACGACCAGGTATGGTGGCTCATTCCTGTAATCCTACCACTTTGGAAGGCCCAAACAGATAGATTGCTGGAGGTCAGGAATTTGAGACCAGACAGAGCAAGAGCAAGATCCGTCTCTAAAAACTAGCCGGGTATTATGATGGGCACTTAATAGTCCCAGCTACTCAGGAAGCTGAGACAAGAGGATCACTTGAGCCCAGGAGTTTGAGGTTGGTATGAGCTATGATGCCACAGCACTCTACCAAGAACAACATACTGAGACTCTGTCTCAAAACACATACACACACACACACACAAAAGTATATACTGAAATGCTCTTTTTCTTGAATGATTATTTCTTTATTTGCTTTTTATTTGAGAAATACTCTTAATTGTTTTTTTCTTTTAAACTTTTTATAAATTTTTTTCCTACTATAAAGTAAGCAAGTAATATAAATCTTCCAATTTTATGAAACCAAAGCACATATAAAACTATAATTTAATCAATTCAGGTTTACAAGTCAAAACCAGAAGAACTTCTTTTCTAGTTATAAGAGTAAAGAGGATTTAACAAAACAAGAATATTAATACTTGAAAAATAGAGTACAGAAAGCTTAAATCATTTTTTCTTCTAAAACTATAAAAAAACCTAAAGTTAGCAAGTTAAACAGAAAGAAATTAATCTGAGAAAAGTTAAAATTAATTAATGTAAAATATTAATTCCTAGCCAGGCGCAGTGGCTCATGCCTGTAATCCTAGCACTCTGGGAGGCTGGGGTAGAGGGAGAAATTGCCTGAGCTCAGGAGTTCAAGACCAGCCTGAACAACAGTGAGACCCAATTTCTAATAAAAAAATAGAAAAACTCGCCAGACATCATTGGCATGCTCCTATAAGTCCCTAGCTACTCAGGATGCTGAGGCAAGGGGATCTCTTGAGCCCAATAGTTTGAGGTTGTTATGAGCTATGATGCCGTGGCACTCTACCCAGGTAGACAGAGTGAGACTCTGTCTCAAAAATAAAGAAAAAAAATTAATTCCTTAGACCTCTTTCACTGCCATGAAACTACTGGACTTATCCAAGAGTGTAAAAAATCCTTGATAACTACTGTTCTACCATCTCCACCCAACAAATAAACGCAGCTAGATCAATAATGTTGTATGAAAAAAGGAAAGTAGGCTATTCACAGGGACCTATGCACATGCTTGGATGCTTACACATCACAGCACTCTCATCCACACAGGCTGGTAATAAGGAAAGTCAAGAGGGATTACACTCTAAAATTTTATTTCTCTACATCTACAGGCAGAATGGGAACCGAAGACCCCATTCCTGGCAAGTGAAAACACCCCCAGAAAAAGGGAAAAATTGAAAAGTAAGCCGAGTGAGTCAGAACAAATGAAAAGTCAGCTAGTTTACCTCTAAACCAGCTGCTGCTAAATTTCTTATCTGAGCAAATTTCCTGCTTTTCCCAGAACTCTGGCCTATTGGGGATACAGCTTATAAACATCCCTGCAGGGTCTGTAAGCACTCCGAAGAAAATAATGGCCACAGAAGATGCTGTGGCAAGGCCTGGCAAGATACAGAAACTGGGCTATTTCCTGCCCAGTTAACAGTCGAAGCAAATACCCATTATGGAGATTTGTATTTAGCTGGGGCAGAAATCAAGGGAACAACCCAAGCCCTGAAATATAGGTAGGAGGACTTATATCCCTTATCACAGAGGAAGACCCTCTGTCGTGGTGATGACAGGAAAATTCCTCTCTCCCACCTCTTCTCTGATTCTTCAGAGGACATTGACACCAGTGGTATTTTACTCCACAGTGAACTAGTGGGATTAACAACTCCTTAAGAATCTGTGTGACTACAGATAGGAGGCTGCCCCTATACAAGGCTCAGGTTGCAGATTTCTCAAAGCTGCTAAGATCCTCAATAAGAAATAGTAGATATGCTCACTCAGAAACTGCTGGTGTCTTTGTTCCCTTCCTCAGCTTACCCTTTGGACTAAATGAACAAATAGCCTTCAATAAAAGCTAAGTAGAACCGACACAAGGGCCACTCGCCAGAACCCCAAAAAAGGGCAGTGGTCCCCTATGTTCCCGCCTTTGAAAATTCTATTCTGAAGGTCTTGTCTCTTTCTTTTTCCTAGTTTCTAACTTTAAATTTCTTCAGTTGGTCACCGCAGATCCACAGGTCTTAACTGACCCTGCCCCTGGGGCGGAACCCCGGCATACATCTATTCCTCAGGTTATTCAATTTTATCACAGATTCTCTTAAGTAATCATCTAACCTAACTAGCATTTTTAAAATATCTACTTTATTTCCAGAGCTAAGCTAGGTATTCCCTCCAATACAACTCCTCTTTGGCTTTAAATAGCAAGCCCTTCCATTCCTCTTTTTACTTACTTTATCGCCTCTGCCTCTTCACTCCACCTTGTTCTCTACCCTAGGTAGATCTCACAATATAATCTATCACTTAAGACATTTCATTTGGCAAAATCCTCAGGATACTTCTGCATCATGAGGTTCAATGCTAGGCTTTTTTGGCATGACACTTGCCCTTCAGGTATACTATTCTGTAAACTGCCAATATGGAAAGCTGGCCTAAAAATTCCCCAGCTACATTAGATACCTGAAGCTCTCACATCACCAGTTGTACTCTCCTATCTTAAATCTCTTGTTCTATCAGTCTATAGAAATGTATCAGTACCTTGTATTTAAAAAAGTAAAAAAACCAAAACCAAATCTTTTAAGAACTCCAGCTTCCAAAAGAAATGCTTTTCTTTCCATTTGTTCAATTCACTGCAATCTGGTTGTTATCCTGTAACTTTTCCCTCTTCCTCATCCAAAAGGTTAATCCATAGTTACTCTTTCCCTTATTCCTCTATTTTCCTCACTCCAACTGCTTGAGGTCAGCCCCATAGCCATTCTCATATACAAGGTCTGACAATTAAGATCACAAACTTGCCACCATATACTTATGTTGGCTGCTCAATAAGGTTTCATAATCTTGGTATATCAGTGCCTCACAGCTGTGTTAGTGTCCATGTGCAGTTGTGTTTTGCTGAGTGCTGTTCATTGTTGCGTGTTTTTGTGTGCTGTTATAAGAATGTCAGAGCTTAAATTAGAACAATGAGCAAACATCTGTAAATTCCAAGTTAAATTTGGCAAGAATGGAAGTGAAATCAGAGATGTGTTAGTTCACGTTTGTGGGGTAAATGCCATGAAGAAAACAGCTATTTACAGATGGATTAAACATTTTTCTCAGGGGGAGAGAAAGTGTCAGTGATGAAAAGAGGTCAGGGCAGCCAGTAAAGAGTAGAACTGACAAAACATTGCAAAAGTTCATCAAATTGTACATCGAAATTGTCAGTGGACTGTGAGAAGCACAACAGACCAAGTAAATATCAAAAGAGAAACAGGAAAATCTTAACTGAAAATCTTGGCATAAGAAATCTTGGCATGTGTTAAAATGATTCTGAAGAACTCACAGATGAATAAAAGCAAAAGTGAGACAAAGTTTGCCAAGACCTTTTGGAGAGGTGAGACTATATTTGAATCATGTTATCACTGGTGACAAAACATGGGTATACCACATGACCATGAAACAAAGCATCAAAGTGGACAATGGAAGTCAGTCAATTCTCCATGACCAAAAAAGTTCCATCAGTCCAAATCAAAAGTCAAAACAATGTTACTAACCTTTTTTGACATCAGAGGGATTATTCACCATGAATTTGTGCCAACTGGACAGTTAAACAAGTTTACTATTTAGAAGTGCTGAAAAGGTTAGACAAAAATGACCTGAACTTCCTACCAACAACTCATGGCTCCCAAGTCACTGTCTATAAGGGAAATTTTCGCCAGTACACAAATAACTCACCAGATCTGTCCCTCCAATGACTTTAACTGAAGATAAAGAAAATATTGAAAGGAAGACATTTTGAAGACATTCAGGACACCAAGGGAAATAAGATGACAGTTTTGGTGGCCTTTCCTTAAACAGAGTTCCACACTAGGCACTGGGGAGTATTTTGAAGGTGACCATAGTGATATTTAGCAAAGGGGTGTATAGCACTTTCCCTAGGATGAGTTCATGAACTTCATTGTCAGATATTATAGACTACTGCAGTAATGTCCTAACTTATCTCCTTGCCTCTAATCTTTTCTTCAGAAGCCTCCCTTCTTTTCTACCTCTCCATACACTGCTGCCAGAATACTCTTTACAAAACCCACAACAAATTACATTTTTCCCATGTTTAAAACAAATCTAAGACTTCTCTGTGCCTAAAAATTAAAACCTATGCCTTCATCATGGAACAGAAAGCTATCTATTATCTGACCCTTATCTACCTGTTTTTATAGAAATCTTTACCCAGCTTGGTCACCCATACTTTTTGTATCATAAGCTCCAGTCTCCATGAATAATACATTAATCAAAGAACCATGCTGCTGATCACAAAACCCCTGTGCTGATACTGCTCCATCTTTTGGAATTCCCATGCCTACCTCCTGGCTCAGTTTACTTAGTACTTATCTGTCAGGATCTAACTCAAGTATCTCTTGCTCTGTTAAGCCTTCCAGAACCACACAAGTAGAGTCCATCAGTCCTTCTGTGACACTACTTTCTCTAAGTATCTGTATTACAGCATACGTACCACTTTAATGAAGTTAATTGCTAATGGCTGTCTCCCTTTCTAAGTTGTGATCTCCTTGAAGTCAACAGTGTTTTATCCTTTACTATCCTTCCTTTACGCCTAATACGTGTTCAAAAAATACCAATCAATAAATGAAATTAAAAATTAGAATACAGAATGAAATCATTTCATACAAATAACATAAACCTGAATGTTAAAATAATCCCTCACCTGGTAAGTAACAGTTTTCTTTCCATCACTTCTAGTCTGAGGTAAGGTCAAAGGTCCAGATACCACCCAAACATCTTCAAACCTCTCTGTCAGTTCTCGACAGTACATTTCTATTCTGAAAAACAAAGCAAAAAAATGTATGATATTCTCATAGACATACAGAAAAGCAGCAAATCCTAACAGTTCCTAGGAAAGAAACAAAGAAACACAGCACTTGAGAAATTATCTTGAATGAAAACAGGACCTGAGACACTAAAAGTACATAAGCAATGATTTTCATAGTTTACTGCATTAAAAAAAACTTAAAAATCACACACATTAGGGTCTGGCACCCATAGTTCAATGGTTAGGGCACCAGCCACATACACTGGGGCTGGTGGATTTGAGCCTGGCCTGGGCCTGCTAAACAACAATGACAACTATAACAAAAAAATAGTGAGGCACTATGGCGGGCACCTGTAATTCCAGCTGCTTGGGAGGCTGAGGCAAGAGAATTGCTTATGCCCAAGAGTTTGAGGTTGCTGTGAGCTGTGATGCCATCACACTCTACAGGAGATGACACAGTGAGACTCTCAAAAAATAAATAAATGAATAAAAAAATTTAAAAAAAAACCACACACACACACACACACACATTAGCACAATTATTTATATTTTTCTATGTGTACCCAGTGTACATTTTAGAACTGAAATTTTGTTAACTTAGAACATTTTTCTATGCCATAGAAACCTTGAATGATCAACCAATTGATCATTGTTTGATTGATGATGGCATTGTTTTCTATTCAGTTCCAAATGTTTATGTTTTTATTTTGTGCCAATACCATGCTGTTTGTTTTTTTTAAAATCTTTTATTTAGAGACAGAGTCTCATTTTGTGGCCCTTAGTAGAGTGCCATAGTGTCACAGTTCACAGCAACCTCCAGCTCTTGAGCTTAGGTGATTCTTTTGCCTCAGCCTCTCGAGTTGCTAGGACTACAGGCACCTGCCACAACGCTCAGCAATTTTTTTATTGCAGTTTGGCTAGGGCCAGGTTTGAACCTACCACCCTCAGTATATGGGGCCAACACCCTACTCACTGAGCCACAGGCACTGGACCCCCCCCCTTTTTTTTGAGACAGAGTCTCACAATGTTGCCCTCAGTATAGTGCCATGGTGTCACAGCTCACAGCAACCTCGACCTCCGGGGCCTTAGTGATTCTCCTGCCACAGCCTCCCAAGTAGCCAGGACCACAGGCACCTGCCACAATGCCTGGCTATTTTTTTGTTACAGTTGTCATTGCTGTCCAGCTGGCCCAGGTTGGGCTCAAACACCCCAGCCTGGGTGTATGTGTGTGCCAGTACCCTACCCACTGAGCTACAGGGGCCTCCCTTAACATTTTTTTTTTTTTTTGAGACAAAGTCGTACTCTCTCACCCTGGGTAGAGTGCTATTGCATCAACATAGCTCACAGCAACCTCAAACTCTTGGGTTCAAGTGATCCACTTGCCTCAGTTTTTCTATTTTTAGTAGAGATAGGGTCTCACTCTTGTATAGGCTATTCTCAAACTCTTGAGCTCAAGCAATCAGGCCACCTCAGCCTCCCAGAGTTCTAAAATTATAGGCATAAGCCAAAATATTTCTTATATTAATATAATACAACATTGTGGTAATTCCTTAGGATAAATTTCAAATGCCAGAATTACTGAATAAATATTTTAATAACTTTTGATCATATGTAAAACCAATACTTTTAATAGGGTTGTACCAATTTACTATATAAGCTCTAAAACATGACAAAACAGTTCCATAACAATCTTTATACTGGGATTTACCATTTAAATATTGTTTATGTGAATTTACCTGAAAAACAATGGCATGTGGTTTTAACATGCACTTTCTTATACTTGTAGTTAAATGAGATTTCAATGAGATATTAATAACAATATTAGTTTCTAATCTAAAAAGTAAAATCAATTTCTTTATAGCATATATGTCAAATTGCAAGATAAAGTTTTCTCCCCAAAATTTATCCTTTGTGAAAAGAAAATGTTAAATGTTTCCACAGATATGCAATCATGAGTCCAGACTGTGGAAAGAAGACTCCATAGGACAAACACTATAGATATTTAACAAATAACTTGCAAGGAAAAAAAAGAGAGAGAGAAAACTATAGAGATATAGTTTTCTTTCTTTTTTCTCTTTTTTTGAGACAGAGTCTCACTTTGTCGCCCTCAGCAGAATGCCATGGCATCATAGCTCACAGCAACCTCAAACTCTTAGGCTTAAGCGATTCTCTTGCCTCAGCCTCCCAAGTAGCTGGGACTACAGGTGCCCACCACAAAGCCCAGCTATTTTTTGGTTATAGTTGTCATTGTTGTTTGGCAGGCCCGGGCTGGATTCGAACCCGCCAGATCCAGTGTATGTGGCTGGCACCCTAGCCACTGAACTACAGGCACTGAGCCAAGATATAGTTTTCAATCAATCAAATATCAGTATCAATCAAATCTGTATGTGCATCTTCTTTGAATTCTGATTCAAACCTACAAGTCAAAATAAATAAATAATCAGGAAAATGTGAGCACTGACTATAAAACCGATAATAAGGAATTATAGTTAAAATTGTTGGGGACAATAATAACACATACATATTTTTAAAGCCTTTATCTTCTAATATATTATACCTTAAATATACAATGGAATATTTATAGATAAAATATCTATGACCTGCTTAAAATAATCTGGGTGGATGAAGCAATTATGTTCATAACTTATAATTACTGAAGTCTTTAGTGTGGTATGCTTACTTAATTACTTTAAACCACAAAGTACTAGATGGGGAAAAGCAAAATAGCCTGAAACAACCTCAAACAATTCTAGTTTTAGATGCTTAAAGAGATCACCTGACAGAACTTGTTAATATGATTTTATATTTAGATTTTATCAAAAATAGGCCAACAGTTATGTTATACTGAACCACAACTTTAAAAAAAAACGGTTTGGGAACTCTTGAAATATAAAACCTTTTTTTGAAAAAAAGCTGAAGAACACTGAAATACAAGAAAAAACAGTATGCCCTAGACACACTCAAAAAAGATGTTACTGTCTCCATTGTTAGCAGGAATAGTATTTTGAGTAGTTTCTCTTAAAACTTGACTTTGAACAGTGGCAAAGATGATTAAAGAGACAGGCTATGTTTTGAAGTCTATTCTTTCACAGAAGAACGTATTTCTGAAATACAGCAAACTGGTCCCAAGTACTTACTTTCAGAGGGTTAGCTTTTGAAAAACAAAGACAAAAACAGTAACAGACACATAAGTATTCTCATGTCACATCATTCACCTTCCGCAGAATCATATTTTAAAAATTCTGACCTCCTGGAAGGCCGAGGCAGGTCTATAGCCTGAGTTCACAGGTTTGAGACCAGCCTGAGCCAGAGCAAGACCTGTTCTCTAAAAATACCTGGACATTGTGGCAGGCACCTGCAGTCCCAGCTATTCTGCAGGCTGATGAGGCAAGAGAATCACTTGAGCCCAGGAGTTTGAGGTTACTGTGAGCTATTACACCAGAGCACTCTAACAATGGCAACAAAGTAAGACTCTGTCTCAAAAAACAATTTTTTTTAATAAAAAATAAATAAACTCTGACCCCTCACCTGTTCCAATATCCAGAATTATTATCAAAATTCTGAGGCACAACATTAGAAAGGTAAAAGGTTTCAGCCATGGCTTTCTGTGAAAAGAAAAAAAAAGAGTAACTTTCAATGAAATGCCTTTCTTTTTAAAAGATATTTTACAAAGCAGACATAGAAAACCATTTCCTTACATATTAGCTCTAGTGATAATCAATTGACTACTGTTTTACATAAATTGAAGCCATAGCCATTCCAGAACAGAAAGCTCTTAAGATTATTCAAAATAAGGATTATAATAAATTAATTTGGTATACTTAGTTTTATCATTTATAAAATCCAAGCTATAATATAATATAAACTTTAAGAACTACAGTTTGCAATATAAAACTAAAAGGCACATTCAAATTTTAAGCATTGGCAAAGAGTTTCTCAACAAAGGTTAACTCTCAGGAATTTTTTAGTGTAATACAAACACATTGGTTCAAAAGTGACAGAGAAAAATTCCTTGTCCTTCTGGATATCTGACCACTATGTGTTAATTAACTTCATACCTCTGACCCCCCCACACACAGCTCTATCTCATTATATTTCTTTTGATTGATCTATACTAACTGCCAATGCCACAATTACCTTCTCTTTAAGCAGTGGCTCTAAATCTTGGGTGCACACTGAAATAACCTAAGGAGTTTTAAAAATATTGATGCATTGGTCCCATCTCTGAGAGTATGTGATTTAATAAGTTTAGAGATTTTTGAAAGTTTTTTAAAACAAAAATAAGTTGCAATATTTTTGAAAATTTCCCCAGGTAATAATAATGAAGTTGAGAACTGCTATGAATCACCAATAGTTCGCACAATGAATGTCAATGTTATAAAAGATACTCCTCCCCCTTTATGATAGGGAAATCAATATAGATGAAAGGAGACTAAAAAGATATGACAACTGAAGACAACATGTGATTAATGACTAGATACTGGATCAAAAGAAAGCTGTAAAGGATATAATTGGAACAATTTGGAAAATTTGAATATAAATTGTATTTTAGGCAATAGTATTGCACAAATAGCAAACACAAACTCTTAGGCTGAAGCAATTCTCTTGCCTCAGCCTCCCAAGTAGCTGGGACTATAGGCAGCTCCCACAACACCCAGTTATTTTTAAAGATGGAGTCTCACTCTTGCTCAGGCTAGTCTCAAACTTCTGAACTCAAGCAATCCATCCCCCACCCCTTGGCCTCCCAGACTGCTAGGATTACAGGTATAAGCCACTGCATCCGGCCTGGTATAATATTCATATATAATAAGATGTGTACATATAAAAATATCCTCATTTTTAGATGATACATGCTCTTATGCAATCTATTTAGGAATAAAGTGTTATAATGTCTGCAACTTTCTATTGGTGATTTTAAAATACGTATATATAAATGCATCAAAATGTGCTTGCTATACTTTTTCAACTTTTCTACAAATTTTCAAAATAAAAATGAGTAGCTTCAGTAGTTCCTAATAGCTTCCCACTTCCCTTTATATAGCATTTAGTTTTCATTATTCAACCTGTTTAGAAGTTTTGACTTCTGAACAGATAATTAAAGTAAGAAAATAAAAAATAAGAGTACAGGGTCAGGAGCAGTGACTAATGCCTGTAATCCTAACACTCTGGGAGGCCAAGGCAGGAGGATCACTTGACCCCAGGAGTTCAAGGTTGCAGTAAGCTATGATGATGCCACTGCACTCTACCTAGGGTGATAGAGCAAGAATATGGAAATTCTCAAGTTTTAAGGTTTGGCTCCTAGGTTTTTAATCTCTAAAGTTGTATTGTATGGATACCATCAGACCCATATTCCCATTCTGCTCCCCAAATATGCCTACACTTGAAAATTTATTATTTCCTGCTGGAGCCATGTGTCCTCGTGACCACCCGCTTCCAAAATAGTCCTCATTGACAGCACTGAAGATTGGAGGGATGTTAGGATCAGGCTTGAATTTACAATGTTTTCTGTCTGCATCACCTGAAGAAAAACACAAAAATAAGTAAGTTATCAATGGATAAAAAACATTTCTAAGCAAGGCAAGGTGGTTGCTACTGGCTGGCATTCTCTGCAATCAGCATGTTCTTAGGGAACATGCATGTTTCAAGTTCCTGGGATAGTTCCGATATGTCACCTGAATTTAGAAAGTACTGATCTAGGAAAAGAATGCTTTTCATATAGTATAACTATCTCATATAATTTTGATTCTGGTCTTTCCAGTTAAAGAAAAATTCCTCTGGATAATATTTAAGTAAATGCAATGACCTTTCAAACAGCTAAGCCATATAAAAAGCTTGGCTACTAAATAAATTCTTAATAAAAGACACCCATGCTACATAGTAAAGGATTATATTTTGATAAGTTTATATGTATACACATAGACAAAACAATTTGTTCTAGGCAGGCACAGCCTGGGGATGGGGTGTCTCTGATCTTGTTTACTGCCTCTTAAGCCTTAACAAAACAAACATTTAAGTTATGAGCTCCACCCAGAAATTCCTAAAACAGAATTTCTGTGTACCACATGGAAGGGGAAAAAAAAAAATCTCAATTTTTGCTCATTTTATGTTGCCTCCAGTATGGTTTGCAACAGAAGACATCAGCAAATCCTAACACTACATTTTCCACTGTCATTAGATCAGATTAAACTACAAAAATTCTGAAAAGAAATGAAACACTGCTACTGATTCCAATGTGATTTCATCTAGCTAAGAAAAGTTTAAAGCAATCAAATCCCAAGGTTCAGAGTGCTTAATACTAAGCTTTTTAGAATCATTTCATAAAGAAAAATAACTAGTTAATACAGAAGAATTATCATTACCAAACTTTTATGAGCCATTACCATTGGAATCTCTTCTTTGTATGCCTAGTCACCACTGCTTGGTGCTCACTGCCCTTGAAAAATAATTAGTGGGAATTTCCAAAGACCCGAGACAACCAACGATGCCTTCCTGGACAACGGATGTAAATTTACTTCTGTCAGGCAACTAGCAGCATTACCAATGGAGAACCATATTAAACCAAGCTCAGGAATTAAAGTTCTACACTTGACGCATGGATTTAGGCTACAAGCCTCCATGATAGCCAGTTTGTGGCCTTAGCATCTCTAAGACATGCTTTTTATCTTCCTTTTGACCCTTCTCTGTTCTGTGCCACGACAGCCTTCCGTGTGTACAAGGGGCAAGCATAGGTTAGTTCCTCTTTCTTAAAGGAATAGCCTTATGGAGTCCCAAGTTCATGTGGGGAGGGTCTCTTATAAGAAAACCCATGTTAGATGAGCCCTAAATTTTTCCTTAATCATCCTCCTCCATTAGGCTGTAAAATCAAAGGCAAATGTGGTTTTGGTTTGCCAGGATTTCCCTTACCTCCATGGATACTGGCCTTCTCCCAAATATTAGCCTGATAGTAGTATTTTCTGTTGTTTTCAGCAGGAGAGTTAGTCTAAATAACTTCGTCTGTCATTACTAAAAACAAGAAGACCCTTTACACTAAAATCAAGTAAAATAGGTATATTGCTCCCTATTTTCAAATATTGTCTCTGTTATTGCCCCCAAATTACACAGCTCATGAGATTTACAATACGAAATATACTGCTCTTCCTATACGCTTTTGAAAATGGTAACTTAAAAGCAGGACAAAATTAGTAAAGTTGCAATTCCTTGTATTTTGGGAACATTTCTGTGTTAAATGTATTAGGCTTGAGACTAAATGGGTTTCTTTTTTCTTTTTTTGTGAGACAGAGTCTTACTATGTCGCCTTTGGTACAGTGCCATGGCATCACGGCTCACAGCAATCTCAAACTCTTGGGCTTAAGCGATTCTCTTGCCTCAACCTCCCAAGTAGCTGGGACTACAGGCACCTACCACAACGTGCAGCTATTTGTTGTTGTTGTTGTTGTGGTTGTTGTAGTTGTCACTGTTGTTTAGCAGGCCCAGGCCAGGTTCGAATCCACCAGCCCTGGTATATGTGACCAGTGCTCTAACCACTGAACCATGGGTGCAGAGCTATGTATTGGTTTCTTTTGACATAAATTTATAATCGCCTTTCAACTGTTGTGATAAAGTTTTCACCTACATCAGTTTCCCTCCAAGAGCAAATACGTTCCAAGCCTTCTACTATTCTGCTAGTTGTTATATACACTAAATGGCACACACTAATTTTAATATCAGCATTTTAACATTCAAAGACATAGCATACATTTCAAAGGAAAGCAGAATATATGGACCATATAAGAAATTAAAAGGCAAATCAGTGTAACCTGGTTTCTTGTACTCTCAACGAATCCCCAACAGTAAAAATAAATAGAAAGCTCAACAAAGACTAGAAAAGGGGGGTAAAAAAAAAGGAGGAAAAAAGAAAAAAAATTAAAAGGCAAATAAAATGGTAATAAAACAACTATGACAAAATATAATACGCTTAATATATAAGGATACTACAAATCTGTTCACAAAAGAGTATCCCAATTGAAAATGGGTAAAGAATAATGTACAAAGGAGTAACAATTCACGAATTTTAACCCTCACTGATAATAAACACAAATAAATCAGCTATTAAATTGGTAAAGCTCAAAAATGCTTACCATGTGTGAAGGGTAGGAGACAGAACCAACAAAGATGGTGGGAGTGTAAACTGGTAAATGAATCTACCTAGTTAAACCTTGGTTATCAAGATCTAATAATGTTAATTATAATAATCTACAAGACATAAGGACATATGAACAGATTTACACACTTGCCTATCTCTCCAGCCTCATTCACATCACTTTTTCCTTCTTGCCAGCCACTCTGGCTTTCTTTTAGTACCCTAAAAGAACAAAACTCTTCTCCATATTGGGGCCTTCAAAGATGCAACTGGGCTTTCTTTGCTTAGAATACCTATGGTTAGGTAACTTTCATTCATACTTCAGTCCACTTTCCTAGAGAAGCCTCCCTAATCAAAATCAGGTTCTCATGCTATAATCTCTCATCACACTCTTTATGGTTCCTTAATTACACTCTCCTAACTTGTAGTCACTTCCTTCAGAAAAGTTATTATCAGTTACAATTATACATTCATAATTATTTGATAGGTTAACCCACTCCCCCAACCGAAAGTGGCATAAGGGTAGAGACCATCTACCCTGAACATTGATTTATCTCCAAGGCTTAACAAAGTGCCAGACCCATAGTGCACTTAACAAATATTTGCTGAGCTAAGATATAACTGGTGCTTGCTGCAGCAATATTTATGACAAAGCCTATAAACTCATGTGTCAAGATATGGATCTGCTCAGGCCTGAGACAGCTGAGAAGGGTGTGGGGTTCTTTGGCTTCTAGGCAGGGTTCATTTAACCAGTGAGCTAGATAAATATGATTTCCTACATACGCTGTGATGTGAAAAAGGTTGAGAATTATTATCAATAATCCTTCCTGTTTTAAATTTGTAATCATCTTTCATTGATTACTTTTTATCCAACCACCTACCCATTATCTTGCTTTTAGAAATATGTTCAAGAACCCATCTAGGCACCCGCTTTGTCTGATCATAGGACAAGGCATGGTTAGTGTAACACTTTGTCTCTGTTCCAGTTAAAGGGAATCCAAATTGTCCTAAGAGAGCGTTTTCTGCATATCCTAAAAAAAGGGAGTGGGGAGGGAGAGACAAAAACAACAAATGATTAGTGACTCTTACTAAGAAAGAAAGATTATATGGAAAGGAGTGGAATGAAATTTCTAAAGGACTGGTCTGATCGACCAGGAGATCTATTTTTCCAATTACATATAAGACAAGAAAATATGCAGTAAGCAAAGTATTGATTTTGTCTATCATCTGTGGTATAGTTACATCAAAATAGACTACATACAGCTACTGCATTACCTTTTAAACAAGGGATGAATCTTACCTGTCTTTCACATCAAATTTCCAAATCACTGCTCCACAAGAATGGTGTATTTTTTTTCAGAACTTAAAGGCAAAGCTCATGTCATTACCAGCAATTAATCATTGATAGGACTGAATGTAAAAAAGCCTACCTATTTAATACGGTTTAAGAATAAGTGTGAAGACAAAAGCACAGACTTAGTTTTAGCTTTTTAAAAGATTATCATTAAGATAATATCAAATATCTGATACTGAAGCACTGAGATACGCAGTGTAGCAAGATATTAGCAAAACTGGTCCTGTTTTTCCTACTAGAAGAAACCAAGCACACAGTTAACAGTGACTCAGTTTCAAGATAACCCTCTCTTGATGCCTTGTTAAATCCTCAACCCACCAGAGTAACTGTGTCTTCCTAAATGCTAAGAATCAAAAGGAGCAAGTTAAATCAGTATGTTGGGGAAAGTGCAAGAAATGAGCATGTGTTGGGATTTTGTTTTGTTCTGGGTTTTCTATCAAACATACGGTAGCTACCCTTGGTAACATGAGGATTTATATTCTTTGAAGAAGGGATAGCAGGTATTCAACTGAACAATGACAAAATAAGGGCAGTTAACCAATCAATTCAAACTACGTGTTTATTTGTTCCTTCATCCACACTTAACGGAATGACAATTATGTACCTGGTACCGTGCTGGATGAAGAACAAAACAAGACATAGTCTCAAATCTTATGGAGCTAACAATCTTCATGAAGAACACATATTAAAACATATCTATCGTGATGAATAATTTCGATATGGGTGCCTGTGGAGAATAAGATCTCTAGGGGAAAGCAGCGCCACACGAGGGAGGCAGGCGAGACACGAAGTAGGGAAGGAAAGCGGATCCAGGAGAATGGACAGACAGGAAACCAAGGGCTGGGCTCGAGGCCCAGCAAATGGCAAAAGAAGCCCGTCAAGGATTGCGATTTACGCCCCAGATCGGAGTCTGGGTCCCAAAACCCGGCCATGGAGAGGAACATGGGCTAACAGACTTACCGTCCGGTTCGTTCACTGCTAGCACTGCCTCAGCACTCTGACTCCGGAAAAGCTGCAGTGCAGTGAGCCCAGCTCCTGCGGCTCCCACGACAGCCCCGGCCACAAAGCCACTCAGAAAACGCCGGGAGCTTCGGAGGCGGGAAGCAACACTCTTGGCTGCCATATTAACCGCGGCACCTTGGCCAGAACGCATGCGCGCAGCGAGCTAACGCCGGAAAGCCAATCGCAACTGCGGAACTAAGATACGCATGCGCGACCTGGAGCCGGCTGGTGGAAAGCCTCTCCAGAGACTGAGATCCCCCGCGCAGGCAGGACTTTCCAGCTGAAGGCCTCGCGCACCCCCTGGTGACAGATTTGTAGGCACAAGCACACTTGCTGCCCTCCATCCTTGGTCCCATTGGAGGGCTTAGGGGTGTGCATATACAGTCCTGATAAGAAAATCCGTTTAGTCCTATTTAATAGGTGAGTAAACGTTTGCAAACGATTACACTAAGGGCCGAGAATCCAACTTGGGTTTGATGTCAAAAGCTGTGCCTTGTTGGATGTCGTGTCACCTGGTTTCAGAATGTCATTGTATGCAGTCATAACTTCCAAAAATAACTTCGTACCTTTTATAGAATTTCTTACCAAGACACTACTCCAAGAGGCAGAGAGCAGAGTTTTAATACCCACTCAGCCATTTTCCTCCTCGGGTGTGTTACTTCACGTTTCCAGGCATCTGTTTCCTCTTTTATGTGGGTAATGATGGGTATTACTAATACTTAGACCATAGAGTTCTTATGAGGAGTAAAGAGTTGACACATGTAAAACATTTAGAGAAGTACCTGGACATGTCATTTAAGTGATCTATAAATGTTACAGTTAGTAATTTTGTGTTTAAAAGATGGGATCTTGCTATGCTATGCAGGTTGGTCTCCAACTCCCAGGAACAGGGGATCCTACTGCCTCAACCTCCCAAGTAGCTGGGGATACAGATGTATGCCAAGGCTTCCAGCTATTATGATAGAATTTAAAATCCAGAACTGAATGCCTGCTGACAAAGGAAGAACAAATTTACCACTTACAAATAAATAAGTCTTCATTCTGCAGCACAATCTCCAGCATTCCATGTGGACTTAGTTCACTATAGAACCTTCAAGTTTCCCATTTCTTGGATAATTGGTAGGAACTTTGTTTTTGAGAGAGAGAGAGTCTCACTCTATTGCCCTGGGTAGAGTGCCACAGCATCATCATAGCTCACAGCAACCTCAAACTTTGGGTTCAAGTAATCCTCCTCCTCAGCCTCCAAGCACCTGGGACTACAGGCGCCACTACAATGCTGGAATAGTTTTTCTATTTTTAGTAGAGACAGGGTCTCACCCTTGCTGAGGCTGGTCACCCACTTTCTCCTCCTGGAGGCTAGGATTACAGGCAAGGGCTACTGTGCCCAGCCGGATAATTAGTAGGAATATCTTTCAGCTGATCCCCAAGATGATTCACTCAGCAGGCAGCCATTTCTAACAATCAAATGAGGAAGTCTAGACATTATGTGATAGCCTCGAATAGAATACCTCTCATGAAGTCATGTTGTATAATCCCGAGTCTCTGACCTGGATTGATTGAGAACAACTAGAGTCCTTTCTAGGGATTTTGGATCTGGTACTCTCTCCAGTTGGTAAAGCTGTAACATGAAACTCTGGCATTGTCTATAGCCTTGTTTGTTGCTATGTGGCCAAAGGAGCAGATGCATCTGGTCTTGCACTGAGCAACAATGGAAGAAATGCTGAGACACAGGTAGAGAAGGCCTGCAATGCTGGGACCCCAGCTTCCAAAGCCTCGGATCTCCCATATGCACCCTGCCTTTCCCAAGGCTTGCCTGGCCATTTCCTTTAGAATCTGCCCAGTGAAGCCCTCTTTTTTCTAATGGTTTCTGTCACTTGCAACTGCGAGTTTTGGCAAATCCAACCAGACAATACTAGTATGTGTAGGCTTCAAGGCTACTTCTGCAGCTTCTACTAGAACCTACTTAAATATATACAATCACTCAAATATTTCCCAAGGCCTTCCTACATGTTGAACATTGTGCTAAATATTAGAGATTAATGAATGGTAGATAACTTTTCTTCATCCAGATCCTCTGCTTGGTTAATAACAGCAGACCCCACTCTTAGCCCCAAGAGGTCAGTAGGGAAACTCCCTCTGGGCCTAGAGGCTAGGATTATAGGCAGGAGCTACTGATTAGAGCAATAGTTTTAAATTATAATTAGGGGAACCCTAGTTTTCCAAGGATGTGCTTGAGAGTTAAAGAAAGTGATGGGAAGGCAAACTGAATGGCTCCTGAGCCCTTTTCTACTTGCTCAGTCACAAACGTGCTTTTTATAAGCCAGCTGTCTCAGAATTCTTTTGGTGAAAGAAGTTTTACCAATGATTGCTGAAAGTCCAAACTGACAGCTTTTTCAGGTCCAAAATCTTCTATTAAAACTGTCAACTTTGGCTGACTGTGGTGGCTCATGCCTGTAATACTAGCACTCTGAGAGGTTGAGGCAGGAGAATGGCTTAAGCTCAGGAGTTCAAAACCAGCCTAAGCAAGAATGAGAACCCATTCCACTAAGAATAGAAAAACTAACCAGGCATGTGGTAGGCACCTGTAGTCCCAGCTACTTGGGAGGCTGAAGCAAGATAATCACTTGAACTGAAAAGTTTGAGGTTGTTATGAGCTGTAATGTGAGACTATGTCTTTTAAAAAAGTCAGCCTTTTGCCTTTCTTTCCTTCTATGTGTTCTTCATTAGGGACACTCACTAATAAAAAGTGGGGTTTAGAAATCTGGAAGACCAAAAACAGTCAAATACTGGACATTTGGCCCCTAAGTAAAGGGTCTTTTCATGAAAACATTTCTCCAGGAATTTCTTTTTTTTTTTTATTAAATCATAGCTGTATACATTAATGCAATCAGTCTCTAGGAATTTCGAACAGGTTCCTTAATCCTCATAATAGAGGGTGAATTAAAAAGGCACTAACCCCAGTGGAAGGACTGAAAGCTTGTGTTTCCCTACTTAGGTAAATACCGTACTAGTCATAGGGCAAAAAAGCTTTTGTTAGTTACAGTAAGGTAATTTCTAGGGCTTTCCTGTTTTCTTTGTTAGGTATTAAAGACAATCACTGTTTTATTATTAAGGAACCATGTTTTATTTAGTGAGATCAAGTCAGGAACTCCACAGCCTGAGACCTGGTTTGCTGATTCCAATCAGGGGTAGGGGCTTACCCCCATAACTATATTTTTCAATGGTTCAGCAAATGATCTTAGTACTTAGCAAAATTTGAGAATGGCAGAGCTCATTCATGAATATAGGTAGTCCCTGGGCTATGAATGAGATAACTTCTGTAAGTTTGTTCTTAAGTTGTATTTGTATGTAAGTTGAAACAGATACATTTACCTATTACCTTTAATAGCTTCCATTTGCAAGTGCAAGTTGAACATCAGTGGTACATCTATAACTCAAGGACTGCCTTTATAGCTTATTTTCAAGGCTGCTTCACTTTCAAAAACATTGCACAGAGTTGTCTACACAGTATAGATCTGGTGTGTATGGCGGGGGGGTGTCTTGAGATTTGGAAAATATACTCCTGCCCTGTGGAAACTTACCCCAAGAATGGTCCATTCAGGAGAAACCCCCAGGATCCCCACTAGGCCCTGGAGTTCCAGATAGCAGACATGGAGAGAGACCTGTGCATAGGTCCAGTCCCACAGGACCGTGGTCAGCTAGGCACTCAGCCATTAACAACTGCATGTATACCAAGCAGGACTTGAGTCAGCCCTATAAACTAGGGAATGCTGTTTTATTTCTTTCTAATTCCCATGAAAAGAAATTTCTATCCCCCACCCATGTAATTAAGAGAGACACCAATGATTTTTATTATTATTTTATTTTCATATACAAAAAGATAAAACTTGAAATAGTTCTAGATTTTTCCTCCTATTCTGTTGGGGTGTGGCTGCTTCTTCACACAGGGGGAAAAACTACATTCACATCGGTTTATTTGAGGACCCAGTGCAGAGTTCAAGCAGCAAAACCCCAGTTTAGCAATCTAATTTCAAACCTGACACTCATTTCTAAAATTACCACAGTAAAAAGGAACAAAGATCCACTGCAAATGCATGAACTATGATACAATGTTCTTTCGAAAATGTTTTCATTTTGCAACTGTAATTACACAGATGTCTGCTTTAGGCCATTTTAGATGTGTGTGTATAATATATATATTGATAAATCAGCACACTTTTCAAATCCAGACAGGGTAACAGCAACAAGCTTAACTCTGTATATATATTTTTTTAAAAACATGATACTTTAGTATAACTTTTGTTAATTCAGTAGTACAAGCTATTTCTCTTCTACAAAATTTTTATTTTATAGCTACAAGGGTGAAAAGTGACCTACTACATTTACATCTCACATATCTTGGTATACAAACAGTACTTACTGAATTTGAGCCAAAAACTAGAAGTCTTTAGTTTTAGCAATTAAAAGAGCTTCCTTGCTTCTACAGCCTTAAATCATATACTAGTCACATTTCCAGAGTTTTACTTGTCATTTTAAACTGTGAGAAACAGGTGAATCCAAACTTTTAATTACAATTTTTATATACAAGTTAGATAACACAGCTCAATAAAACTTAGCTATCCATCCTAAGCCCAAAACACACGTTCTCCACTAAGTTAGACAAGTCTTAGGGTTTTCCTTCTTTTCCTTACAAATAATGTACAAATTAGAAGTAGCTAGTAAAACTGATACATAAGATGGCAAATGAAAGGTGACATTTTCTGCTGGTTCCAAAACTGTTCCTGCAAATTTTGCACTCTGCTGTGTTCTTTAACTGTATGTCTGTTACATGCAGAAAGCTCTTTTCACAAGAATTGACATTAAACTTGATGTAAGTTAAATTTACAGTACTGTATAAAGTTAATCAGATTCAAGGACAAATGTGGGAAAATATTAACAGGTGAAAAATTTGGCCTTGGATGCTACCATTAAGATCATGACAAATTCACAAGCAGATTCTTTTGTACAGTTGAAAAATGGCATTGTGTGGATTTGTGGCATGGAACTGATATCTAAAAACATGTTTCTAATCTGCGGTAACTCTTTCCCTTCAATTCTCAAGTACTAGCCGATTTTCATTGCAGTTTTACAGAATTTTAGAAAAAATGAGGA